TTGATGGTTTTATCCCACCTCGTCGGTTTTTGTATAGCTTGAGGGATGGACGACAGTTATTGCGAAGGCCTTACGGCCAGTGCCGCCGACCCTGAATGGCGACAACGGCGACGACGACGACGACGACGACGGCGATGGCGACGACGACGACGACGACGACGAGCGCTCTCGGGTGCCTCTTGGGGGTAGTTTGGGGGCTTCTTGGGATGCTCTTGGGGGCCGCTTGGGAGCCTCGTGGGGGCCTCTTGGGGCTTCCTGTGAGTCTCTTGGGGGCCTCTTGGGGCCTCTTCGGGGGCTTCTCAGGGGCTTCTGGGGGCCTCCAGGGAGCTTCTCAGGCCGAGGGCTCGAAATGACCGTTCGGGTCCCTCGTCTGGGCTCCCTCTTGGAGCCGTCTTGGGGGCTTCCTAGGCTGTCTTGGAGGCTTCTTGGCTGCCTCTTGTGCCATCTTGGGGCGGTCCTGGGTGCCTCTCAGCCTGTCTTGGAGCGTCGGGAAGCTGACACGGCGAGAATTCATAATTCTTTCAAACACCTACGGGGACTCGATGTTTTTTGCCCTTTGGGGCCCTCTTGGGAGTCCTCTTGGAGGCGGGGCGTTTTGGAAACCTTTTGAGCCATCTGGAGGCTACTTTGGCGACTTGGACCGATGCTTCGGCGATTCGGGGCCCTCGAGCACCGTCTTGGGGGCATCTTGGGGCACTTTTGCGTTCTTGGGGCTGTTCTGGGCCCCCGAACCGCCCAGGGGGAGTCGTATCTGGGTGGAGACCCCCCCGCTGGGAGTCATGTCTGGGTGGCGACCCGATGAACAGCATGTTTTTAAGATGCGGAGCTCCCGCCTGAATCGTGGGTTCGTGGGGCAGTCGCCTTTCAAGGGGGCCCTCATACAGTGGACCCAATACTTGCAAAGACTTGTGAGGAGGGGACTGGGGGCAGGAAGGTGCATAGTAGCATCGTTGATACATCTTGGGTGTATTACTTTGGCCTTTCCACTTTAAACGGAGAAGGTTAAAGGCGAGGTATAAATCGAGCATGTACCGCTGCCGTGCCTGGCTCAAGCCGGGCCCGGCCAAATATGTGATTGTGCCTCACCGAGGCGCACGATTCGTATCTGAGATCGGAAAATACCTTTTCCATTGACGATGCCCATCCTATCCTTTACTCCAGATCCCATGCTTCGTCTTGCTCTCTTGCTCATGCGATATGAGCCAAAGCCTGGGATATGGGAACGCCTAAGGCGTAATATATACCTAAGCTTACCAGTGTGTTTTCGACTTGGTAGCGGAGCTGGCTACACTCTCGTGTGGCTGGCTCTCGCTCTGATTCCTGTAATCCACGGCACAACTTGGTGGACTACTACTACGGTGGAATACCATGTTACGCCGGCTCTGCGAGGAGCGGAGCCAGTCCGCGATCGAGCTAGCGGGGCAACCCGCGAACTCGAGACGCTCTCTCCTACTTCACTGCGCTACTTCACTCTCGACTTCCACCAGATGCCAATCGGCAACTCGATCGAGAACGTGGTCACCCTGCGGGGCTACCCGCAGCGGGGCCACCTGCATCCCGTGCCAGTCAGGCGCCTCACGGCTACTACGCCAGAGCCTGACAAACCACAGCCTAAACCAATCACCGAAGCCGAAATGCACATGCACTGGATTAAGATAACTATCTTCGGCATTCTGTGGGTAATAATGGGATGTGCTGTGGGATACATGCGGCAGGGGATGGACGACACGCGTACTACCGGCCCTTCATGGGACCCTGCCGGTACTACGCCTTTTCGCGAATACGTTCGCGAAGTACATGCATGGATAAACGTAACGAGCGGCAATATGACGCCACCACAACAAGCTGCAGCACTACAACGAGGCCTTCAAGGTCTTGCTCGTCGTATCGCCATGCAGGTCCCCTCCCAGATCATCAACTATGGTGTAACTGTCAATGGACAGCCAACGGATGCAGTTACATATATACTGTACCTACTGAGCACCAAATTTGAAAATCTGGAAGATGAGCGCCAGCTCAACTCTGGCACTGCCCTTATCGACTTTCGCGTCGAAAGGGGCGAGCGAATCGACTCAGTGTTAGCTCGATTCGAGATGGCTCGTGACGAGGCTAACTCTGTTGGCTTTGTCATCCCCAACTTTCAGATCCTAACGCTGATCCTTTTCAGAGCGTTAGGCGTTGGCGCGTCACGAGCCCAACACCTGCTGGAGCCTTTTAATCATCAGATGCCCAGAACACAAGCAGACTATGACAGGCTGCTGACCAGGATGAGGAACTACGGACATGTTGCCGAGCGCTCTCCTGGCAACATTGCGGGTATCTTCGCAGGGCACCACTCACATGCAGGTGTCTACGCCACGACTGCGGGGTCACCCGCTGGTCCTGGCGAGCCAAGTCCCTGGGCTGACCCAGCCGATATGCCCAACGAGGCCACTGCCTTCTTAGGGCAGACCGGCCAGGCATCGGCAGAGGCAGCTGAGGCGAACGCCTGGTCGAACTACTCGCCAGGCGCCGCCTACACTGCAAGCCCGCCCTCGGGCACAACCCTCTGGGGCCAAGCGGAGTCATCCGCTCAAGGGTCTCAGCCACCCTCACCGTTTGAATCTGGCACTGACACAGATACCTCATCTGACGATGAGCACAATGGCATAGTCTCTGCTGGTAATGACTATCCAGCGGATGACACTCACCTTTCTGAACAACAAAGAGCGGAAGCCGCTTTTATGGCTTATCGCAAATCAAAACGCCGTTGGAGGCGCTTTATGAAGAAACCAGTCAGAAAAGTGAGACGTGCAGTACGCCGACATTTCAAACGATATGGAAAGGGTCGTGGCAAAGGGGGTCGCAGACGCCGTATGCATGGTAGGGGTATTACTGCTTTCCTCACGTCCTTAACTGATATAGTCTTTGAGGAAGTTCTTATCGGAGGCAAAGGTCGGGGTCACAGGCGGACCTCCGGTAAGGGAAAAGGGCGGAGGGGCAACCCTAGGGACGCTTCTGGCAATACTATGAAGTGTCATACATGCGGCAGCACAGAGCACTTGCGCGATCAATGCCCGAAAGGGAAAGGAAAGGGATCCGTACATTTGGCTCAAAATTCTTTTATGGATGACATAGACTACATTGACTACGAGTTTTACGTCAATCCAGAAGCGGCTCCCGCCGCGGGCTCTTCCACGTACTACGTGATGGCCCGCTACGCTGAAGTGACCGTAGCCCTGGAAGACTACGCAGTGACCCTCTTCGACGAGTTCCACGGCTGGGACGAAGTCGACGAGGTCGCGTTCAATGCTTGGTTCGGTCTTCCAGCGGGGCCACCCGCCGACGACGAGATCTCCGAAGCTGAGACCGTCCCGGCGACCGAGGAAGAGCTCACCGCCGCGCTGGCACCGCAGGTGATTGGCACGCCGTTGCTGCCAGATCTTCCGCGAGCTGGCTCGGAGGCGGGAGACGCTGATGACGAAATGCGGGGCCATCCCGCGTATTCTGACTCCGAAGAGGCCGAA